TTGATGACAAGGCTTTCTTTTTTAACCAGGAAAAGCTCAAACCATTTTGAATTAAATGAACGTTTTTTTACTCGAAATTTGTGCTGGGGATAGTGGGACAACTTCACTTGTTTAGGACCATCATGCTTTCCCCCTAAGTCACTAATGTCCCCTACTTGTTTGTGGACGCTGGTTGTTGCATCCTCATCACCTTCATGGTCCTGTCTCTCTCCTGTCTTTCATCTGTCTCTTGCCTGTCAGTCTCGCCTCCTCCTCCCTTTCCTACTCCAGCACCTTCATTCTCATTCTCTACAGCAAACATTAAAAAAACGTAAATCTATAATTATGTAAATATCTATCATATTGCTTATAACTAATGTAACTGGTTACATTAAATCACTAATTCATTACAGGACCTTACCTCCCTCTCTCATCTTGTTTTACTGCTTCCCTGTCTCTACTTCGTGTGAGGAATTTCCTGATATCCATCTACAAACCAATGCAGTAATTTTCAGTTAGTAGCCTATAAATCATGTGGTTTCACTGGGGAAATAATAAAATTGACAGGTAAGAAACGTTACCAGAACTAAAAATGCGTCGCGGCCGCACAGTGTCCCATCCAACTCAGTTGAGAGCAGCGTGTTAATTTATCTGCAGTTCATGCAGTGACATGCGCTGACGTGGGGGCGCTAATACATCCTCAATTTGGAGTTACCAACACACTTGCTGCGCATTTGAGTAGAAATATATGTCTCCTTCCGTTGGAATTATCTAAATTGATGCATTAAAAAAATGTAATACTGTTGCAAATATTCATGAGATTTATACTGGGGCACAGCTCATTTATACTGGGGCACATGCCCCAGTAAATGGGGTCTGGCGACGCCGATGGTAGTAGGTATGTTCTTAACACTAAGTTTTATGATAATTTGACATAAACACACACAAAAAGTATTTAACATCTTAACCATCCAGTTTTGGGTCAAATTCTGCATTTAAGGATAGATGCAAACAAAAAAACTAAGGGATTTCATAGGCTTCTTACTGATGCTGAAAGGGGAGAACTTTGCTTATTTTCTGCTCAGGGAAAATACTTAAGATGCCACTGCAAATTTTCATTGCTCCTGAGTTTTTCAAGGTGTTGTGCTGTTGCACGTGTGTAAATGAAAAAATAGCATTTGGTGAAGATGTCTTCCATGCAGCAGTAATGTGACTATATCTAAACCAGCTTTCTCCCTGCATAGAAAGAGTCTGGCTTATATTTCCTTTAAAATATTTAAAGGACATCCGCGGATGATGACAAGCTTGTGTGTCGGCATGAACAGAAGAAGTGTGTGCATCGAATGATGCTCCTGTTAAAGCTCTAATTGCGTCTGTCTTTGACATATTTGTTAATGTCTCGTCTGTCCCTTTCCTTAGCCGTCAGTCTGACTGTTATTGTGAAATAAAATAAACTAGTTGCCTCTTTCCCAGCCTCTTTTTCTGCACTCATTTTAATCAAATCAGAAGGTAAAATGCAGTCCTGATACATTTGACCTTACCATCTTCTTGTAATTGTTAAGTTGGTTGAGATTGGTTTCGTTCCTGTTTGAAGTTATCTTTACGTCAATTCTTGTACAAACAGCCATCATCCAATGAAACCAGATTTATATTTGATTCTCAAATCAACCCCAAAAACCAATGACACACAAAGCTACTTAACCATTTTAACCTCTTCTTTAACTCAAGAAATATTCTGAAAAAAAAAGAACCTCCTGTTCCAAATTCAACGTAAATTTGTAGGGGGCTATATGGTCAAACCAAATGTCTGTTGACTGAAAGTTTGATGGTTGGAAAAGCTCACAATTTGGAGAAGGCAAATTGAGGCTTTGAAGCCTAAATTCCCTCTAGCAGTCCCTGTGGAGGAGATCCTATAACTGCCAGAGTACTTTAGCATTACATTTAACCTTAAATAAGTACCTACTCCTAGCTGGAGCTTTGCAGGATGTTCTAACAGCACATTGAGCACTGACTAATTGATACTGGTTTGTGCAAAAGATGAAACAGGCTGATATTAACCTTCCCTAATCTGTATTGAAACCTTATATATTACACCTTAATATCAGGTCCAGGGCAGAAAATGAACCAAATTCCCTGTATAAATGATGCCATATTTGGAAAATTCACTCTGATCTTGCAATATTTAAAGATCTAGAGATTATCCGCCTCTTACTTTTATCTGATGTCTGGTTAAATAAACTAACAATTTGAATTGATATCACATTTTTATTTATACTATTTGAAATGGCCTTAAGAAAAATATATCTTACACTCTGACCTGATTAAATTGACCATTACTGTCTTTGGATGCTGAATCAAACCTGCTTCCCTCCAATTGTGTGGGCTTTTTTTCAACCATTTAACCCTGTCGATTCCTAGTGAAAAGTCAATGAAGAAATGAGAAAAGTGACAAATAATAATCTATTATTGAATGGCGAACGTCAAGTGCCTCACTCACCTTAAACTCCCCGCATAGAGAGGAGAACTTTAAAAGAAAAATGAAAACATTCGATGCAGAAAAGTTCAGAGATCCTATACTTGCTCCAAACTTCTCAGGTAACCATGCAGCTCTGAGGAGCTTGGACCAAGTCCAGGAGCAAACCTTTTTAATAAGAGGTCCATCTAAAAGAAGGCTGGTGGCTGCATCACTATAGCCTAAATAAAAAAATAGATAAATTGCACAAAGAAGGGACTACCACTAGTGTAGCAAATAGAAAGCAGCAGCCGTGAGTTTAAAGAGCACAAAGAGGAAGCAAAAGTTTGATTGTAACAGGACGCTTCCTTATTTCATTCTGGGGAAAACAATTCACCTTGGGTGTAAAATTGTGGAAAGAGGAAGTGTGCTGAGCCTTTTGACAGAGTGGAAGTATCAACACCCCCTGTGAAGTGCTTTATTAGATCATAAAAGAGTCCGTTAAAAGATACAGCAGTCAGAAATTCATCCTGAGAACAAATAATCTGAATTAGCTAAACAGGGAAAATTGATTCTCTTAACCTCTTACACCCTAAGGGGGTATAAATAAATTTCTGCCTGACAAAAACACACAAAAGTAAATAACTTATAGCCTCAAACCTATTAGATTTAAGAAGAAACTTTTGGTACCTCTGTAAAGGTAAGATGTCATAGAATGGTTTTCTGGTGTCAGCACCATTGTAGCTTTGACCCTGCCTGAAATATTAGGGACAAAATACAAAATATTTTGCATTTTTTGAACCTCGCCAAAATTTTCTTTGAAATAAACATTGCAAAACACTACCAAAATATTATTTATAGCACAAAAAAGTAGTACAGACTTTTAAATCTAAATGTTGTGTAAAAATATACAAAATGTGGACTCAATCAGATGAATCATATTTATTTTAGAATGGTATTAGTGAGAAATTTCTTAGGCGGAGGGGCCAGTTTGGCACATTTATCCATAAATGTCACCAAACTGTGCCAAATATGTTTTTTACATCAATACTGGGGGTTTGGTAAAGTTACGAGGTCATGTAGCAGCTGGACCCGCCGGCGGGTCCGTAGGGTTCAAGGGGTTAACGGACAGAAACAACCAAGCAGGAGAAACACCTATTTAAGCTGTTTCTAATTCAGACAAATCTCCCAACTTTAGAAATCAAATCAAGCTTACTCTTTAAAGAAGAGCTCTTAAATCCCCCAGGCCTTGTGCCTTGCAGCTTAACTAGCTGCTGTATCTGTCAGTTCATCACCTTAAACCAGCTCCTGTGTCCCTGCTGAAACAAAAACATGCTGCTGCCACCACTGTGCTTTACCACGGGGAGGGTGTGGTTAAAGCACAGGTCTCAAACTGAAGTCCTTTAAGGACGATGTCCTGCAGTTTTAACCTGTCTCTGCTTCATCAAACCTGACTTAAATATGAGCTCAATGCTGGTGCAGTAGTTAAGCTATTTCAGGCTCAGGTGTTTAGGGTCACCTGCCCTCAAAGCTATCAGAAGGGACAAATAACATTATTTTTCATGTTGTCTAAGAAACTGTTCTGGCCATGAAACTAATCTTGGACCATGCTGGTGTGGAGGTGACGTTAGTTGTTACTAAATAGTGAAGAAATGTGCTCATTGTATTTGGATTTCTTGTCACATTTAAATGAAAACCTATTTCTGAGTCTTTTTAAAAATAAGCAGAAAGGCTTTCAAGGGATGGCAGAGGAACATCAGACACCCATCCAGAAAAGACATTGCCCAAGGTTTGGAGAGGGACCACATCCGGAAGATGGAGGGATGCATGTTTAGATGCAGCTCTGTTGAGATTGAGTTTTAATTACACTGAATCTAACTATTTGATATTTAAAGGCATTAGTTCCTCTGGATTTTATTTAGGCTTTCACACTTAAAGGGTTTAAAAAAAAAATTTTGTGAATTACATGATTTATTATTTAACAAATCTGCATTTTACCACTGCAGCAAATTTTATGATGTGATTTAATCTACCACCAGAGGACAGTAGAGCAACTAAGAGGAGCATAAGACTGCTGTGTTAGACCTTACTACTAGGGTTAATACCTGCTTCACCTATGTGAATTAATTTACCTGGTATTGTTGTCACATTTGAGGACATTGTATGCTTAAAAAAAACAGGACAGTTGAGTTTTTTTCATGGTTTCATTTACACTTCCTCATCTGGTAAAACAGGACTGCTTTCAGGGCGTAGTAAACATATCAACAGACAGAAATGTTTGCTCAGACTTCTAAATCCAGCCTATTACAAGTAGATTTATGTCAGCAGTTTAATTCCTTTGTCATTTCTTTTCTGCCATATTGATTATTTGTCAGGAATGTTTGAAAAGTCATTTTTAAATAGAAAATATGACTAAAGCCTTTCTCTGGTTTTAATTCATTTTCTTTTCTCATCCAGTCATGGATGCATTTTATGAATATATCTCTTATACTGTGAAAGCTGCGAACAAGGAAAATGTCAAGCAACATTTTCTCTTGTTTCCGATCAACCCTGTCAGACACAACAAAAGTCCATTTTATCATACTTTATTTCTTAAGCAAACTGAGGATCTAAAAACAAATTGGTGGCGTAAAACAAAATATATACATATGTCCAAAGGTAAGAATTATCAAACAATTATAAAAAGCAGATTGTTTTTTTTCATGTTTACTTCAGCTGCAAAAATTTTACATTTGGAGACAAAAACAGTATTGCTTTTCACTGATTGCTTCACAGATTTTGATTGTTTTCAACAGTTGATCACTATTACTGACAAAGACATCAATAGTTTTGAGCACGAACAAAGCACCATCAGGATTTGTGCAATGTTAAATATAAATACAAATATTAAAAGTTTCACAGTAAGTATAGTCAGGGTAAACTACATTGATCCAATGTTATCTCTTAGTCTTTGCAGGAGAATCTTAGTTCAGGGAGCTGAAGAGCACATTTGATTAAATTATCAAACATTGTTTCTTAGTTTTTCTTCCACTGATGTGAGTCTTTTGCTCTTTTGGTTCCCACTGTTCTCTCTGTCCATTTCTATGAAAGGAGGCAGCTGTTGATCTTGTACATGGGGGGGCGCTTGTTGTGTTCCTTGGGGAAGGTCTCCCTTCTCCTATAGAGTGCTGGACTCAGGGGAGTGGGCAGGTTGGCTCGCTGCAGCAGCTCCCTAAAGGCCTCCATCACGTTGACATTGTCCTTGGCCGAGGACTCCAGGAGAATATGGTTCCAGTCCACTTCCAAAGTGGACAACACGTCCTCACTGGAGACCCGCCGCTCTTTGTGCCGGTCTATCTTGTTGCCAATGACGACAATTGGAGTGTACTTGTCCTCCTTGACTTCCAGGATCTCCTCTCTCAGCCGCTTGACTGCCTCCAGGGAGTCTGGATCATCCACAGCGTAAACCAGTGCAAAAGCATCACTGTTCTGGATGGAGAGCTTTCGCATGGCAGGGAAGGAGTAGCTTCCGCTGGTGTCCATAATATTGATTGTGACTTTGATTCCCCCCACTTCATACTCTTTCCTGTGGAGGTCCTCCACTGTGCGACGATGCTTCGGCTCAAAGGTGTCTTTGAGGAACCGCTGGATGAGGGCTGTCTTTCCCACTCCACCTGCACCTAGAAACACCAGACGCACTTCAGTCTTGTCTTTTGTCTCAAAAGACATGACTATGTTCTCTCTTTTTTTCTTGCAGAGACTAAAATTTCCTTGTTTTTCCTTTTGCAGGTGTTGCTTGCTGGTAAAAACTTGTGCTGTCAGAGCTGAAAGGTGTTGAGAGATACAGATGCATGTGAATGTGTGCTCCTCTGCCAGCCGTCTATTTATTTACCCTCATCACCTGCCCACTGGGCTCCCAGCCAATCAGGACAAGGAAGAAGGTTGAATTCACAGCAGCCAACCAGAAAACAAGTCTAGGAGAGAAGAAAAAAGAAAAAAGAAAACATGCCCAAGGTGTTCCTTTGTGAGTAATGTAGAACACATTTCTATCAACATAAACCTTTATTTACTTAAAATGTATTTTTCTGCAGAAGAAAATGTTTGTCTGACATTTTGTTTCAAAGTATTATCTCTTAAACCATCTTAGATGTAGATACTTCACCTGTCAGAAGTGTTCCTACCCCTTATTTTCCTAGTAAAAGCCTTGAAGTATCTCAGGCAGTTGGCAAAAATTAGGTATTTTTGTATTTGCTAATCGGCTGGAAACTGATTAATGGTTAAAAAGTCAGGTGTGCTTTTGTATTCAGCCCTCTTTCAGCATGGGAGAGGTGGATATATTACCTGAAAATGGCACTTAACTAAGAGTAGCACTACTTTATCATAGTTTTACTATAATGTACTAATATAAAGTATTACGTAAGAAGGCTACTTTAGTTTTGAGCAGGGGCGCAGATAGGTTTTTGAAACTGTGGGGGACAGTTACTATAGGGCTTGGTCATCGTGACGTAAGCACTTCGCGTCGCCGCCATGTTGAATGCGTCTTTTACCGCGGCTCAGACTACTGCCTATGACTACCGCGTACTGTACTCCCTCTCAGCCGTGTTTTAATTTGATTAATTTCACCTTAACTTGATTTCAACCATGGTAAACTGTTGCTGTATTGTGGGCTGTAACAGCTCAACACATGATCGCCATGGAAACATAGAAAATGGGTTAACTTTCCACCGCTTTCCTGCCTGGAGGCGTAACCATGGAGACCAAGCGTCAGAGATAAAGAGTCGTCGGCTAGCTTGGATCGCGGCTGTAAGACGACCGAACATAACTTTCCACAGTATTCCAATGTCATTGAGAGTGTGTTCACTGCATTTTCATTCTGGTAAGTTAAAGATGCACGGTTTTATTTTATAGCCTACATTGTTTCTTTCATCAAAGTTGGGATCTTTTACGGGAAAATAATAAAATCGGCAGCGGGAAAAGGCTCAAATACGTGAGAAACCCGTAGGGTTGGCAGTTAACGTTACTAACTACACCTTCGAAACACATAGCAGCTAGTTAAAAGTACATTACATGCGTGAGTGGTTGTTAGCATTAACGGTTACTAAACTAGCAGGTTCCAGAGCCCGTCTGATCACAGCTTACCTTCGTACGGATTACTGTGTTCCCACTGTTTGCTGGCTTTATGATCTGCAGCTCCTGAACCCATCCATTCATGAACTGCACATGAGACTCCAAGGACTTGTAGCTTGGGAACTGTTTTGAAGTATAGGCGCTCACTCATCGGTGCTCCACTCATTGTTTGGAACTTTATATGGATCCAAATGATTAACAATGCTGATTTTGTCACCATACCGGTCCCTGGCTTCTCTGTTTAATGTGTCCCGGTAAATTCCAGATCCTTTTCGGGATTTTAACATCTTTTTTCTCTCTACTTCTGTCTCTTCTTTCAACAACAACGTTGTGTCAGAGCTATGCTTACGTTTGCGTAGCAGTCAGTATGACTGCGACGTCCCACAATGCAACGTGGATCCCGAGCCCTATTACTGGCTATTACTCAGCTATGACAACCCATCAATCTTAATTGCCCATCATTGCAAGAAAATAACATGTATTGGTACCAAGTACTCACCAAACATGCCACATGACGTGTGAAAAAAAAAAGGTTTTATTTAAACATGGACTGACTTTAAGTGCAGGCTGTAAACACACAGAAACACGAACAGCAAAGCCTACATATATACAAAAACAAATTTGTAAATAAGTACTTTACATGGCTTTTCAATAAATGGCCTCAAATGAAGAAAGTTGTGTGTCTACTTTGTCAAGGACTCTGTAGAACTCCACTCTGTGGTACTCCACAGCAGATTCTGGCCTGTGTGCAGGTGCTGGCCCAGAATATCTCTTTGGGGGCCTATGTGTTCGAGATAGAGCAATGGGCTCTAGAGACAGCTTCTCAGCCATATCCACTGCTTCCTTAAAGACTGCCTCAAAGTGGGCTGGCTTTCTTTTGTCCCGTAATCTCTCTTGGACAACTGAGACTGCAGAGACCATGCCCTCCAATGTCTGGGTGCTTTTTTGGAGCGATGTATTCAGCACTTCCAGTTCACTCATTACATCTAAGGCCAGTGAGCCCCAGTAGCCCCAATTTCAGGAAAATCTCAGGCTTTTAAATGTTGTAAAATCACCCATAAGTTTTAGGTGTTTTAGTCCTTTATAATTAAATTTATACATTCAAAAAACATAAGGAAGTTATTATCAACGTCTCACTCTACTTTACAGCTTTGTATTAACATTGCTTTAATGTGTGTTATTGTGTACAGCTGGGGATGTTAAGGGCCATGTTAATTATAGATTAAATAATTTACTGTTCTGTAGTTTAAGCAATTGTCATATTTGTAACATCACTACTCTTTCCTGTGACATGCACCTTTTATTTATTTATATATACACACACACACACACACACACACACACATATATATATATATATTAGTGGTGTCAAAATTATCGCGTTAACGCAAGGCCATTTTAACGGCGATAATTTTTTTAACGTGAGATTAACGCTATGTGGTTTTATGGTACAATTTTCCAAGTACATCCCGCTGCAGCCTGCGGGAAGGCGGGGCTATTTTCCCCCAGTCTATGCATTTTCCATAGGCTTCGAGAGCGGAGCTCCTCAAGGAAAAAAGACGCTCATACACTGGGTGGCGCTAGTGCCTTTTCTTTAAGCCCCACCACCAACAAACAAGTTGAGTGTCTGGTAACTAGTAGCAACCTGAAATACGCTGAGAAAACAGATTACTGAGGTGAAATGGAACCTGCTACGGCACTCTTGCCGTCTGTGTACGCCACAGGTCGGTATCGCGTGTGTGTGTGTGTGGGTGGGTGTGTCTGTTGTGTGTGTGTGTGTGTGTGTGTGGGTGGGTGGGTGGGTGCGTGTGTGTTCTCATTTTTGTTAAGAGGCTGAAAAGTAACTTTCTAGAGCATAGACTACCTCCATCTAGTGATGTCGGTCTATTGATTTTGATGTATTGATTGAAAATTGTTCATTATTATCTTGGTTAATTAACATCTAATGTTAACTGTACTACATTTTATAGCAGTAGGGTAAAATGCTTGTCTTTGTTCAAAAGACTGTATTAACTGTAAAGACTGTCTTTTACATCAGCCTGTTTTCAGGCCCTTTTTTTTGGCTACATATTTGTTATTTTTTGCTACATGCCTCCCCATCTTCTTGCCATATGTTTCTATGGCATAAATCAGTGTCTGTGACCTGTTTTCATTTTAAAAAAAGAACATTGGCACAAACCTAGCCTGTATGTATTTTTTGTATGTCATCGAGAGTATTTAAATGATTTTCAATCATAAAAAAAATTTGCGATTAAAATGCGATTAATCGCGAGTTAACTCAGGCATTGATGCGATTAATCGCGATTAAAAAAATTTAATCGATTGACAGCACTAATATATATATATATATATATATATATATATATATATATATATATATATATATATATATATATATGAGAGAGAGATTCTTTCCTCCGAGTTACAGTGACATACACAAACTTAAAGATACATGACATCCTCAAATTTCTATTCTATTAAAATTTCTGTATCTGTATAATGGGTCTGTTCTATATGTTGTCTTCTCAATTCAGAAGGCCCCATGCCTGTCTTTGCCTAGGGCCCCAAATTTCCTAAATCCGCCCCTGTGTAGTGGAATTTGTTTAGCTTTGAAGTTCGTTTTTCTCATGATTCAACCTGTAACAACCTAAACCATTTGGCTTGGCATAAATACGGATTCAAGTAGCCTACTGTAGCCTACACATTTCTGAAAGACCCCCAACAACTCCAGAAAAAGTCGGAACAGTCGATTTAATTATAAATAAATAAATGCCAGTCGATTCCCCCTGCCTCCCGCCTTATAACATTGGCACCTCTCTTCACGCTATTCTCACTGACCGTCTCCACTCTTTTTTCCACGGCGACATCGAACAGAAAAAATTAGTGTTGCTTCGGTGTGTAAGTTTGCCAAAAAAATGTCGGACTCCGTAATTTTCTCTGGTCCCCTCCCTGATCTGACCAGTGATGACATGTTTAGCCGCATGTCGTCATTCAATCGCTGGTTGTCTAGGTGGTGCCCTGAAAACAACGTGGGCTACATTAATAATTGGCAATCCTTTTGGGGAAAGCCTGGTCTGATTCGGAGAGACGGCATCCATCCCACTTTGGATGGTGCAGCTCTTCTTTCTAGGAATCTGGCCACATTTATTAGTCCTCCAAAACCCTGACCACCCAGGGTGCAGACCAGGAAGCAGAGTTGTAGTTTAACACACATCTCTGCAGCTTCTCTACTGTTACCCACTCTTTACTCCATCCAGACAGTGTCTTGCCCACGACCAAAATCTAATAAATTAGCAAAGATTCCCAAAGGAGTAAATCATGATAATCTAATTAAAATCAAAATAACTCCAATTGGGGAAAAAGTTAAAACAATTAAATGCGGTCTGTTTAACATAAGATCGCTTTCCTCTAAAAGTCTACTAGTTAATGACTTGATTTGTGATAATCACATTGACTTGTTTTGCCTTACAGAAACCTGGCTGCAGCAAGAGGATTATGTGAGCATAAATGAGGCAACTCCTTCAAGCTATTTAAATTTTCACATCCCCAGAAGTTCTGGGCGAGGAGGAGGAGTAGCAACAATCTTCGAGTCTGACTTACTGATTACTCCCAAAACAATTAATTCCTACAACTCTTTTGAACATTTAACCCTTAATTTCCCTGATCCAAATTTCAAGGCAAGAAAACCTCTTCTTTTTGTAACTTTGTATCGTCCACCAGGTCCTTACTCTGAATTTTTAG